ATACAAACCATTAATACTGTGCATAGTCTGAAAGTCTTTATTTTGACTCTTACCTATTTCAAGAACCTAAAAGTACCTAATGTTCACCAAAGTTGTTTCAAGATTTTACTCACATCAAGAAAAGATGCAATCATCACATGCCCTGAACTGGTCTGGACCCTACCCTCAGGACTAACAACTGCGTGGATGGTCAGAAAGTTTCCAAAGTTCACCATCCTCATTGTAATACACCAGGAACTCTGACCCACGAGGAGGATGAACCACATTACCATGTTGGAGCATGTTTTCAAACTTTACCCATGTGAACGTGTACATACTCTTGCTCATGAATGATAGCACTTCCCCTCTTATATATTTGTTTCCCCCTAAAATAAAAGATACCAATTTGTGCTGCTTGTGGAGTCACATGTTTGGAAGGGTTTCCCCCTATTTACAGTAAATACATTATTCTGTGTGACACCTGGTTCACGAGGAAGTGGGCCAATCCTGCATCAGTGACAGGTCAAGGGACCAGATTCCTGCCAGCACGTGGGAAGCCAGGACTGAGTCCCCATCGCGGGCCAGCCCAGGTGACTGTGGGCAGCGGGGAGGACACCAGGAATACATTGCTCTCTTGTTTCTCTCGCCCACTTTACCTCATTTGTGGGGGGAGGGAGAGAGGGCCTGCAAAAATTTATACGGAAGGAAAAAAACCCAAATTTAGCAACAAATGTTCATCAACAAGGATGTGGTTATAGTAATACATTCCATATAAAAGATCTGATATATTATGGCAAGTATTTTTGAAACATACATTAGTGATACAGGAAAAGGATACTAACACACTAAATGAAAAAGGAAAAAACTGAACAGTAAAGTGTAATAATACAAATGCATGTAATGGAAAACGAGAATTAACAAATTTTAAACTAATTTTCTTGTGTAGAGTCACCACCAATCATGAGAACTTATGATGGTTTTATAATTAAGAAAAATACCCACTATTTAAAAGGTTATTCCATTTACTTTAAAATTATTTAGCAAACTTCAGAACAATATTAGAAAAATGTAGAAGCCAGATTACACAGATTTTAAAAAAGTAAGTATTAAGTAGAAAATAGTTACAGAACTTTTGCTAAGGAGTTTGAGTATAAATGAAGAGGAGCATGAGCAGCTAATAAAAAAGGGAAGGACTGACACTGATGCCATGTCATAGTAGGTGAAGCCAGCATTCGATTTGAGTGCTAGGTTGAGTCCTGGCTGATCCACTTCAGATCCAGCTTCCTGCACCTAAGAAGACAACAAAAGATGGCCCAATTCTGTGGGCCCCTGCACTGACGTGGGAGCCTTGAAGAAGCTCCAGGTTCCTGGTTACAGACTGGCCTAGCTCCACCTCTTTCGGCCATTTGGGGGAATAAACCAATGGACAGAAAACTAGATTCCATCTTTCTACCTGCTATTCAAGCTTTCTCTTTTTCTTTCAAATAAAAATTTTTAAAATCTTAAAAAAAATGGGGCCTGGCGCGGTGGCGCAGTGGTTAAGGTCCTCGCCTTGCACGCCCGGGATCCCATATGGGCGCCGGTTCTAATCCCGGCAGCCCCGCTTCCCTTCCAGCTTCCTGCCTGTGGCCCGGGAAAGCAGTCAAGGACGGCCCAAAGCTTTGGGACCCTGCACTCGTGCGGGAGACCTGGAGGAGGCTCCTGGCTTCAGATCGGCATAGTATTGGCCGTTGCACTCACTTGGGGAGTGAATCATTGGATGGAAGATCTTCCTCTCTGTCTCTCCTCTCTGTATATCTGCCTTTCCAATAAAAAAAATAATAATAAAAATAAATCTTTAAAAAAAAATCTTAAAAAAATACAAAAAAGGGGGACAGGAAAAGCTTCATATTTTATTTCTTTTTTAAAGAAATGCCTATTAAACAAAGACCTTTCGCCATTTCTTAACTGAATTGAATGTTGTTTTCTTGCAGTAAATTTAGTCTCAGATCTTGAATTCTTTTGAGTGTGTGTGTATATATATATATATAATGTATATTATATGATTATATATATATTATATAATTTTTCCAATACCAGTTGTTGAAGAGCTCATCCTCACTCAAATATACAGTCTGAAAACTTCTGTCAAAGTCAGTTGGTTAGGACCTGGTGCACTAGTCTAGTGGCTAAAGTCTTCGCCTTCCATGACCCAGAATCCCATATAGGTTCTGGTTTGTGTCCCAGGTACTCCATTTCCCTTCCAGCTCCCTAGCCTAGGAAAGCAGTTTAAAAAAAAAAAAAAGACTCAAAGCCTTGGGATCCTGCACTCACGTCAGAAGACCCAGAAGCAGCCCCGGTTTGTGGCTTCTGATAGGCTACTTCAGCCATTGCAACCACAGAGCAGTGAAGATCTTTTTCTGTCTCTTCTTCTCTCTGTAAATCTGACTTTCCAATAAAAATAAACTAAATCTTTTTTCTAAGCTGGCTATACATATACTTGGCTGTATTTATGTAGAATTCTTTTGGGGCCCTCTATTCTGCTTCATTGATCTATGCATTGGTTTTTAAGCTAGCACCATGCTCTTTTAATTATTGTAGCTTTGTAGTATGTTTTGAAGTCAGGTATTATGATGTGTCCAGCTTGATTTTTCAGGATTATTTTGGTTATTCTGGGTCTTCTGTGATTCCATATGATCCTTAGGATTGCTTTTTTTTTTTTTTATTCTGATAGGGGTAAGGTAATAGCTCATTGTGAATTTGATTTCATTTCCCTGATGTTTGGGAAATGATATTGGTATTTTGATAGCCATTTCAATGAATCTGTAGGTTGCTTTAGGTACTATAGACATTTTTTTAATTTATTGATTTTATTTGAGAGGCAGAAGTATAGAAAGAAGGACAGACAGAGGAAGATCATACAGGAACCAGAAGTGGAACAGCTGGGATCTCAACCCAGTGCCTATATGGGATGATGGTGCCACATGGGGAGACTTAGCCTATATGCCACAGTGCTGGTCTGGTGGTATATACATTGCAATGATATTGATTCTTCCAGACAGTTAACAAGGAAAATCTTTCAACTGCTTTTGTGCCTTTGATATTTTTCATTTGTGATCATTTTCACTGCAGAAATCTTAAACGTCTTTAATTAAGCTTATTCTTAAATATTTCATTTTTTGTTATTCAGAATGGAATTTCTTGATTTATTTCTGCAACTCTATCATCAGCATACAAAAAACCTACTGTTCTTGTATGTTTATTTTGTAACCTACAACTTCATTAAATTGGTTTACAAATTCACAGCTTTTTGGTGGTGTTTAGGTTTTTCCATGTACAACAATAACGTATCTGCAAACATGGCCAACAAATGTGAAGAAATGCTCAGCACACCAGACATCAGGGAAATGAAATCAAATTCACAATGAGATATTACCTCCCCCTCTCAGAATGGCTACAATCCAAAACACAGAGAACAACAAATGCTGGTGAGAATGTAGACAAAAGGAACAACCATACACTGTCAGTGGGAATATACACTAGTACAGTCACTGCAGAACCATGCAATGACTTCTTAAAAACCCAGAAACAGACTCACCACATGATTTAGCAATCCCACTACTAGGTATTTACCCAACAGTCTTGAATACAATGACTAAAGAGATGCTTTCACCACCTTGTTTACAGTAGCACTATTTACAATGGCCAAAAATTGGAGTCAATCAAGGTACCCATCATTAGATGAACAAATAAAATGTGGTATATATACACACAATGGAACATTATTCAGCTATAATAAAGAATAAAATTCTACTATTTGCAGCAGAATGAACTCAACTTGAGGACATCATGTTGAATGAAATGAGGCAGAACCAGAAAGACAAATACCCCATGTTCTCCCTTATTTGTAGGAATTAATAAGTATAAATAACAATAAATACATAAAAGAAAGAACTATATCAGTGCTGCTGAAAATAACTAAATAACTGTAAAACTAATTTTTATACGTTTGTCAAACTACGAAATCAAAAATTGTGCTATTATTTTTAAAAGGCTTCATATTTTAAGCTGTAGAACATTTAGCAAATTTCAAATCAGAAAGAAAAGATACAATAGAATGCAGGAGACGAAAAAGTGAAAGGATAATGTTTCAACCAACTCTCTACCTGTCGTTAAAATACAAATACAGTGATGCAGTAAGCATGACTGTGACACATATGTAGTACCTTTGTTTTAGTGCATGCCCACAGATATCATCCCAGTCTCAGATGGTTACTTACGAAATAACATTTCCTGGTCACTTATACATCCAGGGAGAAAATGTAAAATTAGATCAAAATACATTCTTGCTTCTAGTAGAAAAACCTCAAAAACATAAGGCCTCTGGAGGAATTAACACTGTAGATAGTTTCCACATAAATCTACAACTTGAACTACACTCCCCTGTCCTTTCATAAATATTACATTTATATGAGAATCCAGACTTTAAGCAATGAACTAACAAGCCCAAGTGAGAACTATGGTAAGAAAACCAGGGAGCACAGGAACATATGACGTAATCAGCAAGGTTTCTTCAAGGAAGCATGAGATAATCAGAGAAGACACACATGAGAAGTCAAATGGAAACAGTAGGCATTTGGACTAGCAGTTAAGTCTTTGGTTAAGATGGCCACACTCCACATCGGAGCGCATCTGTGGCTCCAGCTGTTCATATGAGAGTAGACCTTGGGAGGCAGGGGTAACAAACCCAAGTAATTACGTCTCTGCCACCCATCTGTGAAACCACCAGGGTTAACTTTCCAGCTCTTTGCTGATGTGGGCATTTAGGGAGTCAAGCAGCAAATGGAATTTTCACTCTGTATAGTCTAATACAGAAATAAAATTTTTAAGAAGTCAGATTCAGAAATGAACATAAATCTATAGAGAAAAGGCCTATAAATGTTGAGTACACATTTTTCTGTAGTTCTAATACATTATCCTTAGAAAAATAATGAATATTAATCTCAAAGTTGTGATAAAAGACAATTATCAATAGTACATACCTATACGAAGATCTCTTTGTAAAACATTTTTATCATAAACGTAGAATGACAAATACTGGAAAGTTCTTGGAATCTCAAAGTAAAATTCTTCACTGAAAAATGGGCTAGAGAGAAAAACAGAAGAAGCTAATTACTTCATAACATAACGAAATAGTAATTGACTATCACTATTATTAACAGTGTTAATACTCAGGTATTACTACTTTTCATAAAATGAGTGAAATCACAGACTAAAGCTCCACAGAAAATAAATCATTCTCATTGCTGACTAACTACATTCTATACAAACCAAGCCTAACTCTGAGATGACCTCTGGGTGGCCAGGATGAGCTTGGAAAACAGTTTTCAGGAGACCAGGGAACAAAGGACACAGTAATTGCCTGGAATCAATATTTGCTGAAAGTGACATCAAAGGGAGGTGCTAACCATGTCATTCATTCCATCATTTCAGAAACTAGATTAGTCACAATGGTTAGCACCTACAATGAGTAATAGTACGTAAAGGTTATTTAGAAATGGATGGGGCTGCAGCACAGTAATCATCCATCCTATATGGACACTGGTTTGCCTCCCGAGAACTCTACTGCCAATCTTTTTATGGCCTGGGAAGGCAGCAGAGGATGCAGAGTCCTTGAGAACATTCAGTTATGTGGAAAACCAGGAAAGCGCTCCTGGTTCCCTGCTTCGGATCAGCTCAGTTTTGGCTGTTGGGGCCATTTGGGAAGTAAACCAGAAGACTGAAGACCTTCTCTATCTTTCCCTCTCTGTGTGAAATCTGCCTTTCAAAAAAAAAAAAACCCACTGAAACAGATCATTTTAAATCAATCTTACAGAGCTATATATTGTATACAATAAAGCCAAATTTATGGTTGATGACTTGTGATAAATTTATACATGTGTGTAACCACCACCCCAATCAAGATACAAAATACTGCTATCTCCCTCCAAGTTGTCCCATGTCCCTCTGTGGCTATCTCATCATACCTACCATAGGCAACCAGTTACCTGATTTCTAGCACTGTGTGTGTTCTAGCATTTTATATAAATGACTGATTATGTACTTCTGTACACAGCTTTTTTTATTTAATTTAATGTTTGTAGGATTTGTCCCATGTTTTCAATTAAATAACATTTTAACTACTACATGCATATTTATATATTAAAATACTTCTATTTATAAATATACAAATAATTGTTCTGTGTACCATATATAATTATATAATATATATGCACTTATGCATATATGCATTATATAAAACATGTAAAATATATTGTATATAAAATTATATACATGTATAAACATACCAGAGAGAAATATATTACAGAGAGAGAAGAGATACAGAGATTTCTCACCTTCTGGCACACTCCCAATCTGAAACAGGGAGCCAGGAGCTTCTGGGTCTCCCACATGGGTGCAGGGTCCCAAGGATTTGGGCCATCCTCCCTCCATAAGCAGGGAGCTGGATCCAAAGTGGTGAAGCTGACACTCAAATTGACCCCATAAAATGCTGGCATCCCACAAAGGCAATGGTTCAAGTTCCAGTGGATCCACTTCCAAACCAACTCCCTGCATTTGGCCTGCACAAGCAGTAGAGGGTGGCCTAAGTGTATGGGTGCCTGTACCCACATGGGAGATCCAGAAAAAGTTCGGTCTGGCCCAGTCCTGGCCATCTGCAATCTTTTAGGTAGTGAACCAGTGCAGCATGATCTCTGTCTCCCTCTTTCTGTAACTCTGCCTTTCAAATAGATAAATAGGACTCTCTAACTCTTTTCCACAAAAAGAGATGATTGGAGGAGAGGGTGTAGGGTATCCCAGAATCCAAAAGTATCCAATTATATTGAAATTACCTAAGATAACCACTGCTGACATTAAAATTTTCCAAGTTGCCATATACCTTTAAAACTGATTTCAATGTTTCTCCAGCACAAATATTCAGACAGACAAGAGAAAAAAAAGGGGGAGGTGGTAGGCTAATTTATAAGCTTATATATTAGAAATTACCACAGGTATTTAACTTACAGAAGTTACCAGCTAGTTCTGCATTGCTGTGTGATACAGAATGAGCATAAAATAAAAATAACAAATTGAGGTTTTTAAAAAGTTATTTGAGATAGAAAGAGCACTCCTATTTGCTGGTTCATCCACCAAATGCCTGTGACTGCTGGGGCTGAGCCTATGAAGGTCATGTGGGTGGAAGGAATCCAGTCATGTGAGCCATCACCACTGCTTCCCAAGGTCTGCAACAGCAGGAAACTCGAGTCCGCAGCTGCCCATACAGCATCAAGTCAAGGCAGCATGAAATGCAATACAGGTACTCAAACTGTGACCCAACCACAAGACCATTCACCAGTCCCCTCCTTTCAGAAAGTATAAGGGAGACAAGGATGAAGAGACGAACTGGAGCAACAGTGTGGGGTGTGTGTGTGTGTGTGTGTGTGTGTGTGTGTGTGTGTGTGTGTGTGTGTGTGTGTGCGCGTGCATACACGTGTGTGTTTTGGAGGGCAGGGGCAACTTGTAGTTACTAACTTTGTATATCACTGATTACTTTGTTATATAGTACACATTAAGGTAACAAGTACAGACTTAAATAGTTTCAGAACCCCAGTTTTGATTCTAGTTTCGTTATTAAATGATAAATTCTTTAGCCTGTTGGTGACTCAATTTCACTGTTTAATCATAAATAGCATATTTCATATTTGCAATTTTATATTTATAGATATAAACACCACAACTCTAATAAAACAGAGACAACTGACTAAAGGTTATAACTATTTTGTGTGTATACACACACACACACACACACACTACTTGTCCTATGAAGAACTACATTGACATTCAAAATCACAAAAATATAAAATAAAGACATAAAACGAAATCTCAGTAAAAACAAACAACAACTGTAAAGAAACAAAATTTAAAAATAGATTCCTGGATCAGGTATTGTAGGGAAACAGGTTAAGCTGCCACTTGGAAAATCCACATCCCAAACTGGGGGGCCTGGATTCAAGTCACAATCCTAGCTCTGATTTGGGCTCTTGCTAATCTACAACGAGAAGATTGTTCAAGTACATAGGGGACAAGGCCAGACTGACTACAAGGCCAGAGGTCTGGCTCCTGGACTTGGCCTGGCTCAGCCCTACTTGTGAGCATTCTTCCCACACTGTCACTCTTTCAAATAAAAACAATTTTTTTTAAATAATCACTTAAGCCATGGAATTCAATGTTATCTACCTCATGCTAATTTTCCAACAAGGCTTTGTGTCTGCCTCTGTATCCTTGTGGCACAGCTTTACACCACGCTGGAGGCTGTAGGTGGCACGCTCCTATTTTAGAAGTTAGAATTTACTATATATTCAACTGTAATTACATTTTCAATAGTAAGAAATCTACCTAAGAATTCATTCCCTCAAAATGTACTACTAAGTGAAGTAATTTATACGAACTTCCAGCAATTTATCTTTTCAGAAAATAAAATAATGATGCACTTTGAGGAAAGTTCAAATAAAGGGGCAAAATTTAGCCCAGAGAACAGAATGAGGCAATGTGATAGCTGTTTTCAAATACTTGAAAGAGAGTCATGTGAAAGATGAATTATACTTGTTCTGTACAAAGTCAAGGAACTGACTTAGCAATAACTAAAAAGAAGGTATTTTTGAGGCAATGAAAAGCCACATGAAAGGAAACACTGTATCTATCTTGTTTTCATGGGTATGAAGGAATAGAAGCCAGAGAATTACTGGCATGTAAGTTCTCTCTGTCTGTTTAAACATGAACACACTGAATGTAAGAACTTTCCAAGAAGGAGAACAGATCAAGGACTGAATAAGCTGCTTAGGAGGGGTGAACTTGTCAACCATCAAATGGCTGACAACCATTGGTCAAAGCTATTGCCAGAAGGAAACAAGCATGAGGTGTTTAACCTAGCTTAATGATCTTTCAGGCTTCCTCAAACTCTGAAATCCTGTAATTCTAAAACTAAATCTAAAATACAAAAAAAGGGTAAAGGTTTCAGACGAAGAAAGTCTTCATGGTAATAATTTGGAAAATGCATAAAAATTTACCAATCAATATATATCATAAGAATGATAATTTACCAATTTTTTAAACCAACCTTAAAGATTTCTCAACAACTTGGGTACGATAAACTTCTTCCTGGTCCAAATTTATAGTACAGAAACAATCTCTCATTTTGTTGGGTCCAAGATATGGCAATAAATTTTTCGCTTCACCTGTAGGCACAAAAATTTAAACTGGTGTTAATTTATGTTACCAGTTGACTTATGCTAAACCTTATAGGAAAAATTCAATCTCAAATAACATGTTAAATGTAGCACAGATGGAAAACCCAAACTAGTCATTACAGAATGATCAACTTGGTCTAAAGAAGCTTGGTGAGACGGAAGGGAAAAGCTGTTTCAAGGGATGTGTGGCATCATACCACAACACTGAATTCCTACTCCAAGGAAAGGGCACTCCCATCCCACCAGCACATCAATACTTGATTCTTCAATTAATTCCTTTCCTGAGTCAACATTAATTTTCCTCTCTACTGGCCGGTTCCCATCATCGCATAAACAAGATGTAAACAAAGGGGGGAAACTTCCCTTGCCTCTGAATGCCCTGGATCTCCTTTCCTCTTGGCATTACTCCATTTGCAGAGTCCTTTCTCAAAAGTACCAACTCTGGCCACAGACCATTCCTCAGTTTCTACTCATTCTTTTACCTTCTCCAATAGCCTTCTGGCCCCACAATGCTAATCAAACTATTCTAAAGGAGGTCATCAATGTTTCCCCTAATTCCACATCTAAGTTATTTCTTCCTCTCTCTCTTTAAAAGATTCAATTATTTATTTATTTATTTATTTATATTGGAAAGTTAGATTCACAGAGAGAAGGAGAAGCAAAGATCTTCCATTCACTGGTTCACTCCCCAAGTGGCCACAACAGCCAGAGCTGAGCAGATCTGAAGCCAGGAGCTTCCTCCAGGTCTCCCACATAGGTGCAGGGTCCCAAGGCTTTGGGCCATCCTCTACCTTTTTCCAAGGCTACAAGCAGGAGCTGGAAGGGAAATGGAGCAGCCAGAACATGAACTGGTGCCCACCTGGGATCTGGGCACATGCAAGGCGAGGACTTTAGCCACACATCATTTCTCTTTCAGGAGTTATTTATTTACTTGAAAGCCAGAGTTATAGAAATAGATAAGGAGAAACTTTCCATGGTTCTCTTCTCAAATGGTTCCAATATCTGGAGGTGGACCACGACAAAGCCAGCCCTGAATTCTGGGTCTTCCACTTGGGTGCTAGTACCCAAGCAATTGGACCATCTTTCAATACCTTCTCAGGTACATTAGCAAGAAGCTGGATCTGAAGTGAAGCCAGGACTCAAGCTGGTGCTCAAATGGAATGCTTACACTGCAGTGGAGGCTTAACACACGGCATGCAGGCTGCTCCAAATACTCATTTCTATGTCCTCTTCAGGGCTAATATCAAGCACCACAAAACATTCTCTATTCTTGGCTTCTACAACAGTGTCTCTCATTTTCCTCCTATATCACAGGCTCCATTCCAACTTCTCCTTACCTCTAAATATTGCAATGCTACAGGGCTGAGACCTCCACTCCTCTCTTTTACCCAAGATCCTGTAGTATATGGTGCTAACATTGATGCCAATTAAATCTGCACCTCTAAGCCTGATATCCCCTCGACACTATATGCAAATAACCAACAGGCATCTCTAATTTAACAAGTCTCAGACAAATCATCTTATTTCCTCCCTTAAAACATGGTTCTCCCCACCGTGGTGGCCTTGTGGCTAAAGTCCTTGCTTTGAGTGCACTGGGATCCCATTGGGCACTGGTTCTAAACCCAACAGCTCCACTTCCCATCCAGCTCCCTGCTTGTGGCCTGGGAAAGCAGCCAAGGACAGCCCAAAGCCTTGGGAACCTGTACCTGTTTGGGAGATATGGAGGAAGTTTCTGGTCCTGGCTTCACATCAGCAGAGCACCGGCCGTTGCGTTACTTGGGGAGTAAATCATCGGATGGAAGATCTTCCTCTCTGTCTCTCCCCTTCACTCTGTATATCTGAATTTGCAATAAAAATAAACAAATCTTAAAAAAAAATGGCTCTTGGGGTTGAGGTTGTGGCACAGCCAGTAAATCCATCACCTGAGATGGACACCATTCAAATCCTGGCTACTCCACTTCTGATCCAGCTCCCTGCCAATGTACCTGCAAAAAGCAGCAGAAAGTCCAACTGCTTGTGCCCACGTATCCACGTGTGAGAGCTAGAAGCAGCTCCTGGCTCCCAGCCTGGACCATCCTTGGCTGGTTTGAGAAGTTTGGCTTCATTTGAGAAGTGAAAACAGCAGATGGAAAATCTTGCTCTTCTCACCACCCCCACCCACAACTTTGCCTTTCAAATGAAGTAAAGTTAGGAAGACATGGTTCTTTCTGTAGTCTATCTTCAAACTGAGCATACCTCTAAATAAGTTCTAAAGCCCACCTCTTCTCCTTGCCTTCACTCATATCATCTCAGTGCAATGACTTCTCATTTGGACAAACATGACAGTTTCCTAACTGGTGTCCCTGTTTCTACTGCTTCCTCTCCTACAATCCATTCTTCATCAAACAGTGTGCTCTTTTAAATATATTATTCAGGCAACTCACTCTCCTACTCCAACACTACACCATTTCACTTAGGATAAAATCTCATTTCTTAGCACAGAGTTATTTGGGGGTCGTTGAGTTATGTTCATTCATTTTGAATCAAGCTTCCCTGCTAAACTTCTTATGAGTTCCAATACACTTTGACATGAAAATCATTTTTAAAAGAGACAAAGAAAGACACCATGTAATGATCAAAGGATGCATTCAGTAAGAAAAGATCACCATAATAAATATATGCATACCAAATGCCAAGGCCCCTATCCTCATAAACAAATATTCATGGATTTAAAAGGAGAAATAGACCCCAATATAATAATAGTGGAGAACTTAAGACCCCATTAACTTTAATGGAAAGACTGACAAGAAACTCAGCAAGGAAGCAACAGAAAATAGAACAAATGGACTTAATAACTATATACAGAATCATCATTCTCCTAGATGCAGAATACCCACTGGCATGGCTGAGATCTGGGTCTGGAAGTGGGCTTGGTGAGGGAACTCAGGGAACTCCCCTTGTGGGCTGTCACTCCTGCTGGTGAACACATGAGCCAAGGCTGGGTGTTGGTCAGATCATGCAGGGCTGCTTTATTTGTCGACAAGTGTGTGGGTTGGCTTTGTGGGGAAAGATCAGGCAGGGCCAGGCCAAACTATAATACTATAATACAATGGCAGGGCCCGGCGCGGTGGCGCAAGTGGTTAAGTCCTCGCCTTGCACGCCCGGGATCCCATATGGGCGCCGGTTCTAATCCCGGCAGCCCCGCTTCCCTTCCAGCTCCCTGCCTGTGGCCTGGGAAGGCAGTTGAGGACGGCCCAAAGCTTTGGGACCCTGCACCCGCGTGGGAGACCCGGAAGAGGCTCCTGGCTTCGGATCGGCATAGTATCGACCCGTTGCGCTCACTTGGGGAGTGAATCATCGGATGGAAGATCTTCCTCTCTGTATCTCCTCTCTGTATATCTGCCTTTCCAATGAAAAAATAATAAAAATAAATCTTTAAAAAAAAAAAAAAAAAAAATATAATACAATGGCAAGCATAAAAACCAGGATGGGATACAGACCATGCTGGGCTAGGCTAAGCTATCATAGTTACTGGTCTGCATGAAAGCCAGGGATATGTGGCAGACTGGTCAGGGCTAGGCCTTAGCACCTACCAACAAGAGTTGGGACTGGTAGCAGGCCAGGCCAGGCCAGATTGCAGCATCTAATGGCAAAGGACAAGCCGTGTGATGGGTTATACAGGGCTAAGCTGGAGCAACCATGGGCATGTGCAAGATCTGTGGCTGGAGCAGGCCTGGTTGGGAAACTAAGAGAATGCCCTGGATCAGCTGCAGTATCCCTTGACATGGGTGTGGACCAGCTCTAGGGTGTGCCAGACTGGGCACACCAGTGGTTACTGGAGCCAAAGTGGGTATAGGACAGGCTGGGCTTAGTCTCTTCACCCCCACTGAGCCATATGAGAGCTGGGTCTGGGGTGTGCCAGGCAGAGTTGGGTTGCAGCACCCAACAGCAAGAGCCAGAATGGGTGTGGGCAAGACAGGCAAGGCCAAGAACCCACCAGTGTGCTCAAGATCTGCTACTGGGAGGTGACATGATAGAGGATATTGGGGAAATTTTCTGTTAGGATGCAGTCCCTGCAACTAAGGACAAGATCTGAGGCTGGGAACAGCCCAGAGCAAGACAGGTTATACTGCCTGCAAGAACATGTATGGGTCAATTTGGAGATGGAGAAGGTAGTGGGAAGCAGGCTACAACACCAGCTAGTTTACATGAGGACAGGGACTGGTGGCAGCCTGTGGTAGAGCCAGGCTGTAGCACCTCTTGGTTGCGTGCCAAGGTGAGACGGGCCATGCCAGACTCAGCTGCAGCACCAATGAGACTTGACAGTGGCGGGGAGTATTGAGGGGGTGAGATGCGGTAAGCTTGGTAGGGAGACAGTGCGGGTTCCCCTGCTGGGCCACTGCTCCCACTAGTGAGCATGAGAACCAGGACCAGGGGCAGACCAGGCCAGACAGGGCAACACCTGTTGGCCTGCATGTGAACAGGGTTAGAGAAAAGCCAGGCTGGGCTGACTGACTGTATGCACTGGTGTCTGCATGACCCAGACTAAGTGCAAGCTGATTGGGCTTTACCGCAGCATCAACTAGCAGGTGCTGGGACTGGGGGCAAATTCTGCCAGGCTAGATCACAGGAGCACCTGGAGAATGCAAGATCCAGGAATGGGTAACTGTTGGCACCCCTCTGATCGGCAGCAGCTCCCACAGGTGAGCAGGAGAACCAGGGCTGGGGGCAGGTCTGGCCATAGCACTTGCTGGCATGAGTGTGGGCTAGATAGTGGGGTCAGTCAAGCTGAGCTAGGCTCCAACATCCATTGATGTGAATGAGAACCTAATGTGATGTGGGATGGACAGGACAAATCTACTGCATTTACTGGCATGTGCAGAAACCAGGACTGGGAACAGGCCTGCTGGGGGTTACTGGGAGTTACTCCAACTGGGCTATAACTCCCATTGGTGTAGCTGAGGGCTGAGTGTGTAGTGGGCTGTATTGGTTTGGGCTGCAGCATCCAT